GTCAAGGTGAAAACAATCATATTTGGAGGGGTCACTGAGGTAAAGCCATTGTCCAAGGAGACTGGCCAGGCCACTTGGAGGGTCATCTGTAGGGATCCCCCAGGATGCCCTGGCACATTGGTTTGGCACATTGCTGCTTTTTGGAGCCATGCCAGGCCACTTGGGCTTCTTTAAGGGCAAGTCCATGGCCTTGTACGTGCTGGTCTCTGTCTGTGGAGCTCTGGCTCTTCCGTCACTCAGTAGTCAAGGTTTACCTCAATGTTTAGCAATCTCCTGCCCCCATCCTGGTCTGGTTTGGTTACCCTCCTCTGTGCTTTCATAGTATCTCTGCTGTGACTCATTTCTCTGTACCCTAATTGATGTTTTTTTCTGTTCCTCTCACTAACCTATCGATAAGATCTGTGTCTTATCCTGTATCCCAGTGCTTGACATTGAGCTTGATGCATAGTAAATATTTAGTAGATGTTTAAAATGAATGAGTAAATGGTGGTGCATTTGAATCGAATCTTGAAAGATGATTAGAGTTTACCAAGTTGAGAAATGGTAGAAGGGCATTCTAGAGAGACAGACTTGAGAATAGGTCCAGGGCCCACCATGACTTATTTTGTGCATGCCCTTAATGTATGCTGCTAAACCTATCTGCTTCCCTCATCTGCAAAATGATGATAAAACTTATCTTGCAGGTTTGTTGTAGGGATTCAAGATGAAGTTTGTAAATGACTTAGCACCCTACACATACAAGGTACCATGATAAAATAGATAATGGTTTTGTTTTTTTTAATTAATATGACTTTTAGGGGCTTGTAAGCTACTGATAAATATTAACATTTTTGAGGTTTGTGTTGAAGATATAAGGAGAGTCACTCTTCCACCTGTTCATGCCCTGACGTTTTCTTGTCCTGACTTATTCCTGGAAGAATTGAACCCTACATGATTTTGCTTAGCTCTGATTGTGAATTCGTAGAACAATTATTCTGCTAAAAAGAAGTTATTCTGTGAAAAGAAATTCTTCGTGTGGACTTGAAAAGTAGGGAGGGAACTCTGAAGTCCTCACAGCTGATCCTCTGGTCTGCTCCACTGACGCAGGCTGCCCTTGTGAAACTTTCCCCTTTGAATCAGACAGAGGTCTCCATTTAGGACCCACTCACACTGATGGGGGTAGGAATCTATTCATCTTAGTGGGTATTAAAGAAATCTTTACAGGAGAAAAATCTGTTTGTTTTGGGGGGGGGGTCAGTTCTCTGCTTTTCTCAATCTAAAATAATGTATTTGTGACTAAAGCTGAAGTTTTCTTAAAACAGAAAAAAATGTACTTGTATTCTTGGGAGGCTGCT